ATGGCACTCATAGCGCCCTGGTCCTTACCTGGAGCCAGAGCCAGCGAGGGGCGCGGGACCTCCCGAGGGGGGGGCCTGAAGCGCCGAGGGTAGGGCCCGACAGGGCTGGGCCGGAGCCTCCGTCCCAGGATGGGGAAACTGAGGCGCCACCAGCCAGGGCTGTAGCCTCAGACCCAGCAGCTGAATTCCAAACGGAGCTGCAGGTGGATCCCTCGCTGGAGAAACTGAGGGTCCTGGCTGGCCACGGCAGTGCAGGATCCCAGGGGGAGGACTGCCGGGAGCGATTCCTGTGGGAGAGGGGATTCCTGTACCGGGAATGGGCTGGTTCAGGGTGAACTGAATCTTGGAAAGTCGGAAGGCAGCTGGTGGTTCCCCAGAGGTACCGCCACAAACTGTTGTTCTTGGCCCACGATATCCCCCTTTCGGGGCATCAGGGCATCCGGCGCACCAGGCAGAGGCTGCTGCAGAACTGTTCCTGGCCCCCGCGGGGTCTTTGACGCGGTCCGACAGTATTGCAGGACCTGTGACTCCTGCCAGAGGGTGGGGAAGGCCCGGGATAAGTGCAAAGCCCCACTGAGACCTTTGCCCATCATAGAGGAGCCTTTCCAGAAGGTGGCCGTGGACAGAGTGGGGCCCCTCAGCAGGGTGACCCGGTCAAGGAAGAAATACATCCTGGTGGTGGTAGATTTTGCTACGCGCTACCCCGAGGCGGTGGCCTTGTCCTGTATCGAGGCAGACACCGTGGCAGACGCGCTGCTGACCATCTTCAGCAGAGTGGGGTTCCCCAAGGAGGTCCTTACAGACCAGGGTCTAACTTCCTGTCAACCCTGCTCCAGTGCTTGTGGGGGAAGTGTGGGGTCCGACACACCTGGGCCTCAGCCTACCACCCTCAGTCCAACAGGCTGGTGGAGAGGTTCAATGGGACCCTAAAGAGGATGCTGAAAACCTTTCTGGACCAGCACCCGCAGGACTGGGACAAGTATTTACCCCACCTGCTGTTCGCATATAGGGAAGTGCCCCAGGACTCCACAGGGTTCTCCCCGTTCGAGTTGCTGTACGGCAGGAGGGTGAGGGGTCCCCTGGACTTGATGAGGGACGAGTGGGAGGGAAAGGCCTCTCCCGATGGGGAATCAGTGGTAGAGTATGTACTGACTTGCCGGGAAAAGCTCATGGAGCTCATGGGCTGGGCTAGGGGGAACCTAGCAAAGGCCCAGAGGAAGCAGAAGGTCTGGTACGACCGCTCAGCCCGTG